GTACTATGGATTGAACTAAGGGATGCTTCAACCTCTGAGCTACACGCCTAGTCCCTGCCCCCAAACCCGCCTTTTTAAATTGACCTAGGGTCTCACTAAGTTGCCAAGATTGACCTCAAAATTGTAATTCTCCTACCTCAGCCTCTTTAGTCCCTGGGATTACAGGTTTGTGCTACAGTGCCTAGCTGTATATACAATTTTTAAATTTTCTGATGGACATTTAGATTGCTTTCACCTCTTGGCAATTTTTTGCAACGAACATAGGTATGTAATGTATCTTATATAAATGTATCTTAGAGATCCTTAAGGGGGGGGTGATGGCCAGCATCTCATTGGGGGGTTCTTCTTGCCCAGGAGAATGTAAGCCACCCTAAAATTTAGAGTCTCAAATAATTAGTGAATAACAAAACGCAAATATTCAGAAGCATATTTACAAACGCGGAACACCTGATAGATCCAGTCCATATAGGCTCTGGAACTAGACTCGATGGCTCCGATGGTTTATTTAAGGGTCAGGGATAAGGTTTCAGGGCGGAGTCTTGCTTCCTGATGTCTTGTAGTCAGCAGGTTGATTGACATCTTGGCAAATCACACCTATCCCAGCTGCTATGTGGACCACTGTAGAGCGGGATAGAAATTCACACTGTCCCTGGTCAATTGACCATAAATTATATTCACTGGTCATTCCCAGACACCAAATGTTTCTATCCACTAGGCTTCCATGTGTGGTGACCCACATGCACCCCATGGGTGGCTCGTGACAGATCTTATTTTCAATTCTTTTTTTCCTTCATTTTAAAAACTTGAAGTTGCATATATTTAAGGACACATATATTTATTGGTGTGTGTGAATGTATGTGTGTGTGTTCTTTTTTGTGGTAATGGGGATTTTTATTTTGAGTCAGGGTCATAGTATGTGGTCTTTTGTGACTTTTTCTTGACTTTTAAACATATCTAAGTCTTTCATTAAAAAACTTAATAAAGCCTCTCCATTAATCTACTACTACTACTCCATCTTTCTTCTTTCCTATACAATCCAACTTCTTAAAAGAATTATATGTATGCCGGGTGTGGTGGCACTTACTTGTTGTTTTAGTCAGCTTTTTTGCTGCTGTAGCTAAAGGATCTGACCAGAAAACAACTATAGAGTGGGGAAAAGTATTTGAGGGCTCACAATTTCAGAGGTCTTAGTCCATAGAAGGCTGGCTCCATTTCTCAGGGCCTGAGATGAGGCTGAACATCATGGTGGGAGAAGGTGGTGGAGGGAAGCAGCTCATATCATGGTGATGAAGAAGCAGAGAGAGGGCGGGGGCTGGAACTCAGTGGCAGCATGCTTGCCTAGTATGTGAGAGGCACTGGGTTTGATTTTCATCACCATATATAAAAATAAAGGTCCATTGACAAAAAAAAAAAAAAAAAGGAGTGGGAGGAGGAGGAGGAACTATTAAAAAAAGTAGGGCTGGGGTTGTGGCTCAGTGGCAGAGTGGTCGCCTTGTATGTGTGAGGCACTGGGTTCAATCCTCAGCACCACATAAAAATAAATAAAATAAAGGTATTCATATTCTCTCCATCTATAACTATAAATAAAAAAGAAGAAGAAGAAGAGGAGGAGAAGGAGAAGAAGGAGAGAATCCATTGGCCAGATAAAATATATACCCAAAGCCACGCCCCAATTCCTACCTCCTCCAGCTATACTTTACCACTTAGTTACCACTCAATCCCCATCAAGATTAAATCACTGATTGGGTTAAGACTCTTAAAATCCAGTCATTTCTCCTTTGAACCGTCTTGCATTGTCTCACACTTGAGCTTTTGGGGGACACCTCACATCCAAACCATAACACTTGTAATCTCAGAGACTGGGGAGGCTGATGCAACAGGATCAGGAGGTCAAGCCAACTACAGCAATTTAGTGAGACCCTGTCTCAAAATAAAAAGGACTGGGGATGACTTCATGGTTAAATGCCCCTGGGTTCAATCCCTGATACTGCATCCCCTCCCCTCAAAAAAGGAATCATTTGTTTTTATTGTCTCTTTCCCCACCATAATCTTTTAATCTGTAGCTCATTCTGGGTGGTTTCTTCTTTCTCTCTCTTTTCTCCTTTTTTTTTTTTTTTTTTTGGTACTAGGAGTGTGATTTCTATTTTTTTTTTTTTTAGTTGTAGTTGGACACAGTGCCTTTATTTATTTATCTGTTTTTGTAGTTGTAGATGAACATCATGCCTTTATTTATTTTTAATAGTAGTTTTTTCCTCCTCCTCCTCCTCTTCTTCTTCTTCCTTCTTCTTCTTTCTTTTCTTTTTTCTTCTTCTGTTGTCAATGGACCTTTATTTTATATGTGGTGCTGAGAATTGAACTCTGCCTCACACATGCTAGGCAAGCACCCTACCATTGAACCACAACTCCAGCCCCTCAGTTGACTTTTGAGCAACAAGTTATGCTGCTTCTACTGTTCTCCTTCATGGACACCCTCCTCTTTGTCTTCTCTGATACCATATTGCTCTTGCTTTCCTTGTTATCACTGTGGCCTCCTTTGGTCTCCTTGTGGAGCTTTCTCTATAATGACTGTACGTGTAGCTGCTAAAGCATTCCTCAAGGCTTTCTTTAAATTTTTGTTTCCCCCCACTTGGTACTGGGGATTGAATCCAGGGGCACTCTCACTTTTATAAAGGTTCTGGATTGGGGGAGAAAATTGTAATGTTCGTTCTAATTATAAGGCACTAGGAATTTGGCCTCTATCTTCCTCTCCAGCATCATCTTGAACTGTGTGCACTTGCTTTGCCCACTGCATTTTATACATAGAATGTTATGTTCCCTTGCCCCATTTTCTTTCCTGTGTTAATTTTTTTCTACTCTCAGCTATCTATCTCTGCAGGGAAACCTTGCCTGACCTTCTTAAGACAGATTAATTCATTAACTGGGTCTCATAGCACCTTCTACCTATTTTTTACAGTATTTATCACAGAATTTTACATGTGTATTGGATTCAAAGCTGTCCTTTACCAGACTGTGCTTGCTTATTGCAACTGATAAAAATGTCTGTTGAATGAAGAATGGAATGCATGCCAGTATAACTTCTTAAAAATTCTAACCTACTCTATGTAACTCAGGTATATGAAGTAGCAATAAAGAGAGGGAAGCATTTTTATATTTCACCTTTAAAAGTATGGAGTAAGCTGGGAATATAGCTCAGTGGTAAAGTGCTTGCCTATCATGTGCAAGGCCCTGGGTTTAATCCCTAGTACTTAAATAAAAGAATGAAAATTAAGAAGTCAGCCAAGCTTGGTGGTGCATGCCCGTAATCCCAGGAATTTGGGAGGCTGGAAGCTGGAGGCTGAGGCAGGAAGATCACAAGTTCAAGGTCAGTGTAGGCAACTTAATAAGTTTCTCAGTAACTTAGCAAGACCCTGTCTCAAAATTAAAAATAAAAAGTATTGGGGATGTCACACAGTAGTAAGGTGCCCCTGGGCTCAATCCCCAATACTAAGAAACAAAACCTACAGAGTAACCAAATATACCCACTTTCTTTACATTTCTACTGTTTACAATAGAGGGTCCAACCTGTCAGCCTGTGAGTTGTACAAAATTTAGTTATTATTTACTGACCATATAGATTTTAAGAATAGAAGAAATTTTGTATGAAAATAAAGATTGCTGGTTTTGTTTAAATGTAATAGAGATCTGGCAAACTGGGCTGGCAAACCCACTTGATGTTAATTAATTACCTTGAAGTGGATGTGGCTATATTCTTTGAAATGGTCATTGGTGTCATCTGGCATAGTACTGCAAAAAGCATAATCATTGAGCTGGCCATGAAAGTCAGGCATGGTGGCACATGCCTGTAATCCTTCCTGCTATAGAGGCTGAGGCAGGAGGTTTGCTGAAACCCTGCCTCAAAGTGAAATATAGAAATGGCTGGGGATATGTATGTAAATCAGTGTAGAGTACCCCTGGGTACAATCATGAGTACTGCCCCCCCCCAAAAAAAAAAATTTGACTGCTCATGCCAGGCAAGCACTCTACCGCTGATGTTGGGGATTGAACCCAGAGGCACTTTACCATGGAACTACATCCCTAGACCTTTTTATTTTTCATTTTCAGATAGGGTCTCGCTGAGCTGTTGAGGCTGGCCTGGAACTTGCAATTCTCCTGCCTCAGTCTCCCAGGTTGCTGAGATTACAGGTGTGCACTACTGCCCCTGGTTTTTTCATTTTAAGACTGTCCTGCTTGGGCTGGAGATGTGGCTGAAGCGGTAGCGTGCTTGCCTGGCATGCGTGCGGCCCAGGTTCAATCCTCAGCACCACATACAAATAAAGATGTTATGTCCACCGAAAACAAAACAAACAAACAAAATATTAAAAAATTCTCTCTCTGTCTCTTTAAAAAAAAAAAAAAAAGACTGTCCTGCTAAGTTGCTTAGTCTGTCCTTGAACTTGTGATCTTCCTGTCTTAGTCTCCAGAATACCTGGAAGTACAGGCATGTGTCATCCTGTCTTTCTTTGCATTTTAAAGTATGATTTTCAAAGAATACTACTGTCAAACGATGTTAATGATAATAGTAAAATATAACTAGCATTTGTAATAGTTACTATGTACCAGGCATTATGCAAAGTACTTTTCACTGATAATACACAGCAGCACTGTAGTACAGGTACTTCTACCCTCATTTTACAGTTGAGGAAACAGTCTCATGGAGGTAAATAACTTGTCCAAAATCACATAGCTAAGTAAGGGGGCAGTGAGGAATGAGAACAGAGGCATAAAATCTCTGTGCTTGATGTGCATTGTTTTTGGTGGAAAATTATACTGCATTTCATATGCTGTGAGGGTGTTAAACACCCATGTATGTATGTCACTGTGCTGGAAGCTGTAGACACCTATTTGTGTGTGAGTTTTTTATGAAATTTAGATGGGTGTTTGGTAATGCCTGGTGGCCATAGAGCTTGTACATTATAGTGAATCTTAGTAATCAGTTTTCTTTCTTTTTCTTCATCCCACAGTGTTAATTTTAAAGACCCTGAAGCAGTCAGAGCTCTGACTTGTACTCTCCTAAAGGAAGATTTTGGACTTTCTATTGATATTCCATTGGAGAGACTAATTCCCACAGTTCCGTTGAGACTCAACTATATTCATTGGGTGGAAGATCTGATTGGTCATCAGGACTCTGACAAAAGTACTCTCCGAAGAGGAATCGACATAGGTATATAGTTTTAAATTCTTTTGTGGCTAAACATAAGTTTCAAAAGTTTTGCAAGGCCAAATTCTTAATAAACTACTGAGTATTTGTTGTGTGAAAGAAGCTGGCCTAGTTTAACTACTGTTCTTATCCACTATACTTGGGCTTTTCTGCCGTAGATTTCTCCTGAGAAGGGGTTTTCGGCTCCAAACAGGGAGCAAGGTGGTAAAAGAGGTACAGGATGAAAGTGAGGCTCTTGTCTTAGCTTTGCAGATTTCCACATTGATTTCCATGACTGTTGGGCCTTATCTTTACTCTGAATCAATTGATGTTAGTATAGACATCATCATACTGAGGTTTTATGGCAATGGCCAGTTAATAAAAGATCATGTGGGCCTGAATACTTTTGGGAATCTTTTGGGTGATTATTTGTAGAGAGGGTATTTAATCCAAGATTAAAGTCAGGAAAAAGTTGAGTTCATGTAAGATGTTCTTATAAATAAAGATGTCTTTTTCTCTCTCTTTCTTTCTTTTGAAATATTTTATTTATTTATTTTTATGTGGTTCTGAGACTCGAACCCAGGCCCCTGCATATGCTATGCCAGTGCTCTACCACTGAGCCACAACCCCAGCCCCTGAATTTCTTCTTCTTTTTTTTTTTTTTTTTTTGTAGTTGGATACAATACCTTTATTTTACTTATTTATTTTTATGTGGTCTAAGGATCGAACCCAGGGCCTCATGCGTGCTAGGCAAGTGCTCTATTGCTGAGCCACAAACCCAGGGCATCTTTATTTCTTAATGGTTTGTTTTACTCACTGTTGTTATTTGATAGGGTTTTAATTTTTTTTCTTTTAATCCTTTGTCCTTAACTAATTCTTCATAGGCAAGATTGAATTAACAACTCTGTGTCTGTTTCTAGATATAGTATAGTTAATGGTCACAATGTGTTGATAGTACTAAATGTGTAACTTTGACATTTGCTTGCATTTTCAGTGAACTCTTTGAGTCTTCATCTTACATGACCTTTGCAACAGCATTTTTTTGACTTCTCCTTTCTTTCACGCACTGTTCTCCATTTGTTTCCATGGCAACAGTCTTCTGGTTTTTCTTATTCATTTCTACTCGCTCTTCTTTCACTTTTCAGGCTTACCTTCCTGTTCTGTTTGATACTGATAATCCTTACTTAAGGCCCAGTCTTTAGCCTTTTCTCATTCAGCACCCTACCCTAGCAATTTCACTCATGTCTGTGACTTTACTACCTCCATGCAAATAAGTCCCATATTTATATATTCTTTCAACTTGGATTGTTTTTTCTTTTCCTTTTCCCCACAACACCTTTATTCTGTTTACTAAATGTAGTGCTAAGGATTGAACCCAGGGCCTCAAACTTGCTAGGCAAGCACTCTACCACTGAGCTATAGCCCCAGCCCCATGGATTGCTTTTCCTTGACCTCTGATCTCATACACCTAAGAAACTTGGATATCTGAAAAATGTGCCAGACTTGCTATGTCCAAGACCAAAACATAGTGTTTCTTACTAGTCCCATTATTTCAGTGAATCTACCACAATCCACTCTGTCATCCTTGATATTTCTCATTCTCACTGAGAATATTCACTATTTCCTGTTGATTCATTTATTGGGGGACTGGGTCTTACTGTGTTGCCCAGGCTTATTTCAAATTCCTGGACTTAAGTGTTCCTCCTGCCTCAGTTTTTTTTTTTTTTTTTTTGGTGCTAGAGCCTGAACCCAGGCCTTGTTCATGCAAGGCAAGCACTCTAACTGAGCTTATATCCCCAGCCCTCTGGCTTTCTTAAGTCAATCTTTCTCCCTTCCTTCCTTCATTCCTTCCTCCCTCCTAGCCTCACACATATTAGGCAAGCACTGTACTATTGAACCACATCCCCAGCTCCCTTAATATTTCTTAAATCATCTACTTCTGTCTCCACTGCCATCATCCCCAATCCAAGTTATCATCATCTTTTACCTTATCTACAGGATAACTTCTCAGCTGGTATGCTGTCATCCACTCAATTGTCCCTCCATTCTGTTCTCTGCCCTGCATTCATAAGATATCTATAACTCCACATCTGATTGCATTTTCACCACTTTAATGGGTTCTTAATGCTTTTGTGGTAAACACCCAAAACTTTGAATTGGCCTTTTATTTTATTTTATTTTATTTTTTAAATTTGAATATTTATTATTTTTTAGTTTTCGGAGGACACAACATCTTTGTTTGTATGTGGTGCTGAGGATCGAACCCAGGCCGCACGCATGCCAGGCGAGCGTGCTACCGCTTGAGTTACATCCCCAGCCCTGAATTGGCCTTTTAGATTTACCTTTGTATGATCCTTGCCTTCTTCTGAAGGCCTCTCTAAGCCCATCTTATATGGTTCTTTCCCTGTCCTACTCCTCCCTTTATGCACTAAGGTTGAACCCAGGGGTGCTCTACTACTGAGCTATATCCCTAGCCCTTTTTATTTTTTATTTTGAGACAGGGTCTTTTTAAGTGGCTGAGGTTGGTCTTGAACTTGTGATCCTCCTGTCTCAGCCTCCTGAGTAGCTGGAATTACAGGTGTATACTATTCTCCCCAGACATTGCTTTGTTTTCTATCCTTTTTTTAGATTCTTCTAATAAGGCACCATAGCCCCCAGAACTTTGTATGTTATTTCCTGTGCCTGGAACTTCCCTCATCATTACCTTGTTTATTCTTTTTTATATAATACTGTACATGACAACTCAAGAAAAGCTTTCTCTGACCTTCCAGGCTAACACAAGTTCCTTGGTTATAATCAGTGTTTCAGAAAGCCTTGTTTCTTTCTTCATGGCATTTATTTCAGTTTAAAACTGTACTGTTTTCAATTTTTTGACTAATGTTATTCTCTGCCGCTAGATTGCAAAGTATAGTTAATTTTCGGTTATTATAATATTCCAAAGCTAGCAAAGTTTCTGACATATAATATTTGTCCAATAAATGATTTATTGAATGTTGCTGGATAAATACATCATTCTTTTCACATTCAAAATTTGAGCACTCCATATGAGCTTAAGCACTGTAAAAACATTGAGATTTTTTCTCAAAGTTCTTACCCTTTTATATTCATGGCAGAGAACTGGTGGATGGTTCTAGAAAGCTTTGATAGCTTAACAGCCTATTTGGTGCAAACTTGATTTTAATTATGCCCCAAACTCTCTAAAATAGCACTTGGGGATATAGGAGGTTAATGGATTTTAGCTCTTCACAAGGGGCAATGCTTGCTGAAATCATATTCAATCTAATTAGGGTTTTATATAAATTCTTCCCCCAGACTCCATCAGTTTGCTCTAATTCTATGATTATTACTTTCCATTTATATTTATCATTATAAAGATTATTACTCACTTAAAAGATGTCATTTGTCTTTCTGAGGGCATTAGAATGTCAGAATGCAAGGTTTTTGGTCTTGAGAATTGAGACAAAACTTTTTTGGGGGTGGGCAGAGAGTAGATCTTTTACCTACATTTATTATCCTGGAGGTAAGCACACTTTTATTTGAAATGAAATTGTAGTATGAAGAGAGAGGCAATTGTATGAGAGTCAAGGGCCTGGAACCTGATCTGGATTTTTTTATTACAGAGCTGAAAGGGCTACTGACATTTTCTTATGCCAGATGACTCTGGTTCACCAGAATTGCCAGTAGAGCTAAAAAATTGTGGGTTCTGAGAGGACCCTCCTTCCCTCCTCCACATCTAACAAATCCCTGAGGAGTAGTTTGCCCAAACTGCTTAGGACCAGGAGACTTGGACAGCAGTCATTATGACCGTCAAAGAGCTAAAATGTTGCAGCCATGAATCATCCTGTCTTTTCCTAACATGTTCAGAATATCTCCCTTGGTTTTCCTCTGGGTTAGGAGCACCTCCAGACTCTAATGCTTCCTGCCAGATCACTAGGAACTAGACTGGAACCAGGATGTGGTCAGGGGAAAATAGATCTGAAGTGGCTGGTTTAGGCTGATTGCTGGTTTAGCCCTTCAGGAGAAACACTGACTTTCCTTCTCTCAAATATACTCTCTAGGATCTAATTGGCCAAGATTAGACAGTGGTTTAAGGCAATATTTGTGGTTAGTATATAGACCAGTCCAGGACTAGTGATTCTTCATGTCAGTTTAGGACCAAACCCTAGTTGGTTAAAGAATAATTTTTGCCTGGAGCATTTATCTGTGAATATCTCCTTTGAATTTGTGGTGGGGCTAGCCCAATTCTGATGTTTTGGATCCAAATGAAATATTTTTCCATGTCTCTGCATCTAAAAAAATGGTTGTCTTTAGTTTTGTTTGTTTAATTTTTTTCTTTAAACTTTTGATTTCATTCAGGTGACAATTTATGGAAATGTGGGGAATTGGACTGTCTGATGTTGTGAAAAATTTGCACCCTATATATTTTGTTCTGCTTTTTGGAGAATGGGATGTGTACATTGATCTGTTTTAAGATGTTGCTATGATATTTTAACGGATAGAATTAAAAAAAAAAGAAAATTGAGTTTGTGTGAGATTTAAAATGACTTTTTTTTTTTTTGTTCGTACCCAGGTTCACTACCCACTGAGCCACATCTCCAACTCTTTTTTATATTTTGTTTATACACAGGGTCTTGCTGAGTTGCATAGAGCCTTGCTAAGTTGCTGAAGCTGGCCTTGAACCTATGTTCCTCCTGCCTCAGCTCCTAAACTGCTGAGATTATAGGTGTGTGCCACCGCACATGGCCAAATGATGTCTTTTTTTAAAGCATTAAATTAAATTGAATTTGGACCATTTTTGCTTAATCAGTTTCATATTTCTTGACCTTCATTGATGTAAACTTCATTTTACATACAACACACGAATGAGGAGGACAACAAGGGTTCTGTCTTCTATGGAGCCTAACTCTACTTACAAGTAGAGTTAACATATATGAAAAAGAGAACCCAGGAGCCATAGTATGAACCAGTTTTTTATTTATGTGTATATATATGTATATTTTTTTCTTTCTCTCTCGTAGATGGATACAATATCTTTATTTTATTTTATTTTTTTTTAAAGAGAGAGTGAGAGAGGAGAGAGAGAGAGAGAATTTTAATATTTATTTTTTAGTTATCGGCGGATACAACATCTTTGTTTTGTATGTGGTGCTGAGGATCGAACCCGGGCCGCAAGCATGCCAGGCGAGCGCGCTACCACTTGAGCCACATCCCCAGCCCAATTTTATTTATTTATTTATTTTTAATATGGTCCCAGGGATGGAACTCAGTGCCTCATGCATGCTACGCAAATGCTCTGCCACTGAGTCACAACCCTGGCCCCCCAGCTTGTGATTTAAACTGTTAAAGCTATGAGAAATCTGAGAAGAGAAGAATGATGTTCTCATTGTTATTTTCACGTTTCTTTCATGTGTAGAATGTGTTCTAAATTTTTATTTTACTAGGTACTGGGGCATCCTGCATCTATCCCTTACTTGGAGCAACCTTAAATGGCTGGTATTTCCTTGCTACAGAAGTGGATGATATGTGTTTCAACTATGCAAAGAAAAATGTGGAACAGAATAACTTATCTGATCTCATAAAAGGTTAGCTCAACAGAATAAATTCCCCTTCAGGCTTTGTTTATTAACCTAAGTTAACAAGTCTTGTTATCTTTGGCTTTAATATACAGACTTTGATAATTAAAAAAAAATGACACATTGTAATTGGATTTGCTGTTTTAATACCAGAATTAAAAAAAAAAAAAAGTAAGTACAGTTGATCCACATTGTTTCTGGGTTCTCTATGAATTTTCCTACTTGCTGAAATCAGTTTATTTAAGTAGATTTTCTTGAACCTTTTTAATTTGCCGATGTCCATAAGTGGTTTTGGTTTGTATTTTAACATACTTTATTTTATAGAGAAATTCATAGCAAAATTGAGTGAACGGAATCCTTGAGGTGCTAGTGACTGAAATTGCTGAGCCTGGCCTCAAACTTGTAATTCTCCTGTCTCTGCCTCTCAAGTAGCTGGGATTACAGTGCACTACTGCACCTGGCAGAATCCTTCATGTATTTTGGATAGTAGTTCTTTATTACATATTTTCTTGTAGCCTGGTACTTCTCTTTTTATTCTCTTGAATAAAAGCAAAAATTTTCATAGAGCAAAAATTTTAATTTTAATGAGGTCTAGCTTATTGATTCTTTCCTTTGTGAATCATGCCTTTGGTGTTTTATCTAAAACATCATCTCCATATCCAGGATGATCTAGATATTCTCCTATGTTATCTTCTGGGAGTTTTATTGCTTTGCTTTTTGTATTTAGTTCTGTGATCTGTTTTGAACTAATTTTTGTCAAAGGTCTATTTCTAGATTTTTTTTTTAAACTTTCTTTTTTCACAGATTTTTAACCCCTGTGGGTTTTGTGTGTGTGTGTGTGTGTGTGTGTGTGTGTGTGTGTGTGTGTGTAAGGGCTGGGGATTGAGCTTGGGGCACTCAACCACTGAGCCACGTCCCAGCCCTATTTTGTATTTTATTTAGAGACAGGGTCTCACTTAGTTGCTTAGTGCCTCAATTTTGCTGAGGCTGGCTTTGAACTTACTATCCTCCTGCCTCAACCTCCTGAGCTGCTGGGATTACAGGTGTGGGCCACCATGCCCAACTCTCCCATGTTTTTTTATTGGTGCATCATAGTTGCACATAATGGTGGGATTTATTGTTACATATTTGCATATGCACACAATATAACAATATAATTTGGTCAATATTATTTCCTGTTATTTCCCTTTCATTCCCTTCCTCCCTTGCCCTGGTCCCTTTCCTCTTCTCTGCTGATTTCCCTTTGATTTTCTTTTCCTTTTCCTCTCTAGCTTCCACATATTAGAGAAAACATGCCACCCCTGACTTTCTGAGTTTGGTTTATTTTGCTTAACATAATTGCGTAATGTTTTTAATTTTTTCTTTTTAAAGAATTCAACCTTAATTTCATTATTATTATTTTTTTTTTTTAAGAGAGAGACAGAGAGAGAGAGAGAGAGAATTTTAATATTTATTTTTTAGTTATGGGCGGACACAACATCTTTGTTTGTATGTGGTACTGAGGATCGAACCCGGGCCGCACGCATGCCAGGCGAGCGCGCTACTGCTTGAGCCACATCCCCAGCCCTAATTTTATTATTTATTTATTTTTTATGTGGTGCTGAGGATTAAACCCAGGGCCTCACCTGTGCCATGCAAGGGCTTTACCACTGAGCCACAACCCAGCCCCATAACTTTTTTTTTTTTTTAAACTCAGGGGTGGTTCTTTTTACCACTGAGCTAGGTCCTCAGGTCACCCTCCCACTTTTTTTTTTTTTTTTTAATGCTTGTTGATGGACCTTTATTTCTTTAACATGCTGTGCTGAGAATTGAACTCAGTGCCTCACAACATGCTAGGCAAGCACTTTACCACTGAGCTATAGCTACCTAGTCTTGTCCCCAGCCCTTTTTGAGGCAGAGTATCACTAAGTTGCTTAGGCCTTGCTGTGTTGCTGAAGCTGGCCTTGACTTGTGATCCACCTGCCTCAGCCTCTTAAGTAGCTGGGATTACAGGCATGTGCCACTGTGCTGGACAATATAATATTCTCAAGTTCCACCCATTTTCCTGCAAATGACATAATTTCAGTCTTTGTGGCTGAACAAAATTCCATTGTGTATATATACTACATTTTAAAAATCTGTTTTTCCATGCATAGATCCCTAGACTGGTTCTGTAGTTTGGCTATTGTGAATTGTGCTGCTATTAACATGGGTAATCAGCCGGGCATGGTGACACATGCCTGTAATCCCAGCAGCTCAGGAATCTGAGGCAGGAGGATTGTGAGTTCAAATCCAGTCTCATCCAATGTGAGACACTAAGCAACCCAGTGAGACCCTGTCTCTAAATAAAACACAAAATAGGGCTGGGGATGTGGCTCAATGGTTGAGTGCCCCCGAATTCAATCCCCAGTACCCAAACAAATAAACAAGGATATTCCTATATTGCTATAGTATGCTGACTTTAATTCTTTAGGCTAAGTACTGAGAAGTGGTATAGCTGGGTATGGTGGTTCCATTCCTAATCTTTTGAGGAACCTCGATATCAGTTTTCATGGTTGTTGTACTAATTTGTAGTTCTGCCCAAAGTGTTCCTTTTTCTCCACATCCTCTCCAGCATTTATTATTGTTTGTGTTCTTGATGACTGCCATTCTAACTGGAGTGAGATGAAATCTCGGTGTAGTTTTGATTCACATTTCCCTAATTGTTAACGATGTTGAAATTTTTCATGTTTGTTGGCTATTTGTATTTCTTTTGAGGAGTGTCTATTCAGTTCATTTATTAATCAGGTTGTTTTTGTGATGTTAAGTTTTTTGAGTTCCTTACATATTCTGAATATTAATCCTTTGTCAGAAGAGTAGTTAGCAAAGATTTTTCTCCCATTCTGTAGGTTCTTTCTTCACATTCCTACTTGCTTTCTTTGCTGTGCAGGAGTTTTTTAATTTGATGCCATCCTATTTATTAATTCTTTAGATTATTTCCTGAGTCTTAGGGGTCTTATTAAGATTATCATTTCCATGGGGCTGGGGTTGTGGCTCAGTGGCAGAGTGCTTGCCTCACACACGTGAGGCACTGGGTTTGATCCTCAGCACCACATAAAAATAAGTGAATATAATAAAGATATTAAAAAAAAAAAAGATTATCGTTTCCTGCTCCTATTTGTTGGAATTTTTTTTTCTTTGTTTGTTTTTTCTTTTTCTAGCACCAGGGATTGAATCCAGGTGTGCTTAACTACTGAGCCACATCCCCAGTCCTTTTTAATATTTTATTTAGAGACAGGGTCTCACTGAGTTGTTTGGTTCCTTTCTGTGCTGAGGCTGGTTTTGAACTCGAAAGCTTCCTATCTCAGCCTCCCGGGCTGCTGGGATTATAGGCATGCACCACTGAGCCTGGCTACAATGTCTGGTTTTATGCCAGTACTGTGCAGTTTTTTTTTTTTTTACTATAACTCTGTAGTGTAATTTGAAATTGGGTGTTGTGATTCCTCTTGCATCACTGTTCTTGCTCAGGATTGCTTTGGCTGTTCAGGGGCTTTTATTCTTCTATATGAATTTTAGAACTGTTTTGTATAATTCTGTAAAGAATTGGTCTTTGATGGGGATTGTGTTGAATCTGTATCTCATTTTTGGTAGTATGGCCATTTTAACAATAATAATTCTGCCTATCCCTGAACATGGGAGGTCTTTCCATCTTCTTGTGTCTTCTTCAGTTTCTTTCTTGTGGTTCCCCCCCACTCCGCCCCAGTACCAGGGTTTGAACTCAGGAGCACTCGACCACTAAGCCACATCCCCAGCCCTATTTTATATATATATTTTTTACTTAGAGACAGGGTTTCATTGACTTACTTATTGCCTTGCTGCCATTGATGAGGCTGGCTTTGAACTTACCATCCTCCTGTCTCAGCTTCCCGAACCCCTTGAGTTACAGGCATGTACCACTGCGCCTGGCAGTGTTCTCTGGTTTTCATAGTAGAATTTTTTTCACTTCCTTAGTTAGATTTATTTCATTTATTTATTTTTGAGGATTTTGTTTTTTAATTGTCAATGGACATATATTTATTCATTTGTTTTTTATTTTTTATTTTTTTTTAAAGAGAGAGGGAGAGAGAGTGAGTTTTTTTTTAATGTGGTGCTGAGCAGCCAGGGCCTCACACGTGCTAGGCAAGTGCTCTACCACTGAGCCACAACCCCAGCCCCTATTTATTTATTTATTTATTTATAGTGGTGCTGAGAATTGAACCTAGTGCCTCGTACATGCTAGGCAAGGTCTCTACCACTGAGCTATGGTTCCAGACCATTTTGAGGATATTTTTAATGACACTATTTTCCGGATTTCTTTCTCAGCAGATTCATTATTTGTGTATAGGAAAACTACTGATTTTTTTTTAAAGTTAGTGATATTTTTTTTTTTTAGATGTTGATGGACCTTTATTTTATTCATTTATTTATATGTGGTGCTGAGAATCGAACCCAGTGCCTCACACATGCTAGGCAAGCACTGTACCACTGAGCTACAACCCCAGCCCTAAAACTATTGATTTTTTTAAAATATATTTTTTAGTTGTAGGTGGACACAATTCCTTTATTTTATTTTTTTTGTGGTGCTGAGGATTGAACCCAGTGCCCTCGTGTGCTAGGCGAGCACTGTACCACTGAGCCATAACCCCATCCCCCAAACTGTTGATTTTTGTATGTTGATTTTATGATTTGATACTTTGCTGAATTTTTTTTTTTTTTTAATCACCTCTAAAAGTTTTCTGGTGAAGTGTTTTTTTTTGGGTCTTCTAGATATAGGATCTTGTTATAAACAAACAGATAATTTGACTTCTTCCTTTCTTATTTGTATTCCTTTAATTTTCTTCTCTTGCCTGATTGCTCTGGTTAGAGTTTCAAGAACTATATTGAACAAGATTGGTAAGAGTGACTATCCTTATGTTGTTCCAGATTTTTAAGGAAATGCTTTTTGTTTTTCCCCCGTTCCGTATGGGTTTGTTGTAGATAGCCTTTACGATTTTGAGGTCAGTTCCTTCTATTCCTGGTTTCTTCATTGTTTTTGTAATGAATGGGTGCTGAATTTTGTGGAAGGCTTTCTTTGCATCTATTCAGATGCCTATATAATTTTTTCCCCTTAATTCTATTTGAGGTGAATTGCATTTATTGATTTGCATATGTTAAGCCACCTTGCAACCCTGGGATAAGACCAACTTGGTCTTGATGTACAATCTTCTTAACATGCTGTTGAATATGATTTCCTAATATTTTATTAAGGATTTTTTGCATCTTAAGTTCATCATCTCATGTGGAAAAAATGTACTAGTCATTCCAGTTTTATTTGTTGAAAAGAAGCTTCATTGTATTGCTTTTGTTCCTTTGTCAAAAATCAGTTGACTGCATTTTTTTTTAGTTGTAGATGGACACATTATATTTTATTTTTTTAATTTTTTAATGTGGTGCTGAGGATCAAATCCAGTGCCTTACGCATGTGGGGCACGTGCTCAACCACTGAGCTAAAGCCCCAGGCCCTTGACTGCATTATTGTGGTGGGTCTATTCAGAAATAGATCCAGAATCCAGAATTCTCTGTTCTGTTCCATTGATCTATTCTTTCATCAGTGCTACGCTGTCTTGTGTTTAGTAGCTTTCTTCTTCTTCTTTTTTTTTTTTTTGTGGTGCTGGGTATTGAACTCAGGGCCTTGTGCATGCAAGGGAAGCACTCTACCAACTGAGCTATATCCCCAGCCCTGTAGCTTTTTTTTTTCTTTTGTTTCCTTAAATTTTTTCTTTTTTAATTTTTTTTTTAGTTGTAGGTGGACACATGACTTTATTTTTCTGTGGTGCTAAGGATCGAACCCAGTACCTTAAACGTGCCAGATGAGCGCTCTACCACTGAGCCACAGCCTCAGCCCCAATTTTTTTTTTTTTAATTTTGAAACAGGATCTCATTAAGTTCCATAGGCTGACCTCTAACTTGTGATTGTCCTGCCTTAGCCTCCTGAATTGCTGTACCATTTCTGGCTATCTTTTTTTACCATAGCTTTACAAGTCTTAAAGTCAGGTAATAACAGCTTCTTGGCTTTGTTCTTTTAGTATTGTATTGGTTTGTCTGAGTGGTTTTTCTCTCCATATAAGCTTTAAATTGGTTTGCTAATAGCTAAAATTTGTTTTTAAACCCAGATAAATACTCAAGGTGCTTTTGTGGTCATTCACAGCCACGTGCAGAGTAGCAAAACATTTCAGTCACCCAGTGTGTACATTTTCATGTATAACTAAAGTAGGCAGTGCTCTGCCTTCTTATCTCAGTTCTAATACTGTGAACAAGTCTTGTGTTTGTGGTCTATATAATACCACATTTTTGTGCTTTTTTTGGTGATTTTGCTATTTCAAGTGGCTCTTAAATATAGTGTTGAAGTGATGTCTTCTCTTTCTAAGTGCAAGAAGGCTTTGAGGTTTTTTACTGAGAAAATAAGTGCCTTAGGTAAGCTTCATTCAGACAAGGGTTACAGTGTTGCTGCCATAAGTTCATTGTTAATCAGTGAGCAATGTATATTAAATGAGGTGTATTTAAACTGAAACACACATAAAGCAAGGTTGCGTATCTATCAGTTAATGAAAATGTGACAAGAGGCTTGCAGAAACCTGATTAACCCTTTATTTCCCCTAACACTAGTGATTCAGTATACATGGCAACTTCATAGAATATAACTATTTTGAATAATGAGAATTGGCTATCTGTGTTACCAAGATTTTAAAAGGAAAGAAACTATTGTTGATTAAATTATACTGTCTTTTAAATTTTAGTACATGGAACTATGCTAGCTGTAGTCAAATTCCTTTGTGATCTGTACATTTTAGTTTTGTGCCCATTGTGTAGATGAAAGTGCTGTTAATTTTTTTCACTAAAGTTGTTTTGCTGTATCTCTTTAAGAAAGAAATAAAGGTTTTTTGAGTACTATTTAAAATACTGAAAATAGAAATAATAATATTGTTAATACATTTGCTTCAGTCTGTTGCTATGTAGCATATTACTCCAAACAATAAACATTATCTCATCATTTCTGTTGGTTAGGAATTTGGGTGTGTCTTAGTTGGATGGTTCTGAATCACTGTCTTTAATGAGGTTACTTTCAAGTTGTTGGCTATACCTGTCACTTGAAAGATTGGTGACAGAATACTTTGATAATGGTTCACTCACATGGCAGGAGGGAAACCTTACTTCATTGCCACCTGGATTTCTGTGTGCTTCTAGAGTGTCCTTACAGTATGCCAGGTAGGCCTCTCCTAGAGCAGAATTCAAGACCAAGAGCAAGGAGGAAGCCATGCTGCTCTATGACTTAGCTGGTCACTTCTGTCATATTCCATTTAATAAAATTGAGTCACTAAATGCAGTTACACTCAAAGGGTAATTGAATTCTACCTCTCGAAGGGAGTAGTGTCAAAGAATTTGTTCACATATCTTAAAACCACCACCACATTAATATTAGCTAACAGTTCTTATTTTTTCTCCTAGTGGTAAAAGTGCCGCAAAAGACACTCCTGATGGATGCTCTTAAAGAAAAATCTGAAATAATCTATGATTTTTGTATGTGCAACCCCCCCTTTTTTGCTAACCAATTGGAAGCCAAGGTAAAATGTCTTTTGCTTTAAAGTAGTTGAATGTTTAATTAAATTTGCCTTGTTTACAGAGATGAGAGCAGTTTTTTATTTATAAATTATATCAATTAGGATGCTTTTGGTTTGAAATACTTAAAAACCCAATTCAGATGGACTTAACTAAAGAAAGTTTATTTGGCTTATATATCAGAAAAACACAACAATAGTTTGGTCTTTAGGAACAGTTTGATCAAGGAATTCACAGAATCATCAGGCTGAGGCTCTGTTTTTCCAGGTTTCTCTGGTCCTTGGCTGTTTTGTTCTTGGGTTGGTTTAGTCATGGTCAAGTCATATTTATGGGATTGCTGAGGGTAGAGCTTTTTTCTTTCTCTACCATGGAACTTTTGATTTTTTTTCCATTTGGACCATCTTAGATCATAGTTTACTCCTGGACTAAGTTTGTTGAAGGGAAAAAAATTATTATTTTTGCTACCTGTCATTTAATAGTAACTAAATGGCCTATTTTGTCTTTCTAACTTCAGGTGAAAAATATATTTGCTTATAAATATTGAAAGACATGTATGGAGTAAAAAGAACTAACACATTAAAAACTCAGTGCTAGGGTTGAGGATGTAGCTCATTGGTAGAACACTGGCCTAGCATGTGTAGGATCCTGGAATCAGTCCCTAGCATTGCAAAACAAAAACAAGAAAAAAATTTCCATGATATAACATATTACTGATTTAACCTGTGTGGTTTTTTTTTTTTTTTTTTTTTTTTGTACTGGGGATTGAACTCAGGGGTACTTGACCATTGAGCCTCATCCCCAGCTCTATTTTATATTTTATTTAGAGGCAGGATCTTATTGAGTTGCTTAGTGCTTCACTTTGCTGAGGCTGGCTTTGAACTCGCAATCCTCCTGCCTCAGCCTCCTGAGTTTCTGGGATTATAGGCGTGCGCCACTACGCCCAGCTAACCTGAGTTTTTATTATCTAGTGAACCCTTTCTGTTAGTAATGAAGAATGACTAGTATTAATCAGAGGAAATCAGGGGTATGTATGCTTAAAACTTTTGAGAGAATAAATTGTTTTTAGAATTACTCAGATATGGGCTGGGGATGTTGCTCAACCAGTAGCGCGCTCGCCGGGCATGCGTAAGGCCCGGGTTCGATCCTCAGCACCACATACAAACAAAGATGTTGTGTCCGCCGAAAACTAAAAAATAAATATTAAAATAAATTCATTCTCTCTCTCTCTCTCTCTCTCTCTCAAAAAAAAAAAAAAAAACAAAGAATGACACAGATACCCTAAAATTACCATATAAATGACTCTTAACAAATGTAGATGGATTAAATTTTTTTTAGAGAATAAAGAAGTTGAACATAATTTTATTAGGAATACCAACATTCCAGATTAGAACATAAAGTGTTATTTAAGAAATTTAAATTTTAGCCAGGTGCAGTGGCTAAAATTAAAAGTAATCAAAGCCAGCCTCAGCAATTTAGACTCTGTCTCTAATAAAATACAGAAAAGGACTAGGAATGTGGCTCAGTGGTTAAGTGCCTCTGGGTTTAATCCCTGGTGTGTATACACACACACACACACACACAGAAATTTAGACTTTTGTCTTCAATGCAGATAAATTGTATGAATGAAAATAACTACATTTTTTTTTAACTTGATGAGTTACTACATTTATTCCAAAAGTGCACATGAGGGGCTAAAGGTATAGATTGTCCACTATGTGTGATACCCTTGGCTTGATCCACAACACCAAAAAAAGTGTCCATGTCTTAACTATGGACTGTAAAACCCATATCCAGATAAAGAAGTCAAGCATTTTTAGTACCAGAACCAAGGTCTTTTTTTTCTCTTATGAATAGTGTTAAGTGTTAATGTTTAAAAAAAAAGTATATTAATGTAAAAATATTTCTGGTTATAGATTTTCGTTTATTTTGGTCATAATCCCAGGAGTAGAATTGCTAGGTTCTATGATAACTCTGTTTAATTGTTTAAGGAACTGCTGGCCTATTTTCCAAAGTAACTATATCACTTTATATTCCCATCAGCAGCATGAGGGTTCCAGTTTTCCACATCCTTATCAACACTTTTTATTAACTGTCATTTTGATTATAGCTATCCTGGTGGATGTGAAATGGTATCATTGTGGGTTTTTTCCCTTCACATTTTTTATCAGTACATTAGTGTTGTATATACTGATGGGAATATTGTTACATATTCATACACGCACACAATATAGCAATATAATTTGGCCAATAGCATTCCCCAGCACTACCTGCCCCATATCCTACCCACCTTGATCCCTTTCCTCTGTTGTTCTGCCTTTGATTTTTGGGAGATTCACCCTCACTAGCAACTCAATCCCTGGTTCAAAAAAAAAAAAAAAAAAACACCTTCATTCTTTATATATACAATTTTTTGTTTGTTCATCCATTGATGGACATCTAGGCTGGTTCCATAGTTTGGCTATTTTGAAGTGTGATGTTGTAAATGTGAGTATGCATGTATCACTGCAGTACGATGACTTTAATTCTTCAGGATAAATACTGAAGAATGGTATACCTGGATCATGTGGTCATATGGAAATCTTCATACCGTTTTCCATAGTGGTTATAGTCACTGTGGTTTTGATTTCCCTGATGGCCGATGATATTAGGCACCTTTTCATGTGATTATTTGTATTTTAGATTTGCCTATTCAGATTTTCTGCCTCCCCCTGCTTTGTTTTTGTTTGGGATTAAACCCAGGGCCTCACACATGTGAGCAAGTACTCTACCACTGAACTACATACACCTCCACTCCTCCTGCCCATTTCTAAATTGGGTTTTGCCTTCTCCTTCCTTCACCTGGAGATGAACTCAGGGGCACTCCACCACTGAGCCACATCCCCAGCCCTATTATGTATTTTATTTAGAGACAGGGTCTCACTGAGTTGCTTAGTGCCTCACTTTTGCTGAGTCTGGCTTTGAACTTGTGATCCTCCTGCCTCAGCCTCCTGAGCCTCTGGGATTACACATGTGTGCCACTGCACCTGGCTCTTTTTATTATTAATTTCTTTATATATCTTAGGTATAAGTGCCTTTTTAAATAATGATTTGCAGGGCTGGGGATGTGGCTCAAGCGGTAGCGCGCTCGCCTGGCATGCGTGCGGCCTGGGTTCGATCCTCAGCATCACATACAAACAAAGATGTTGTGTCCGCCGAAAACTGAAAAATAAATATTAAAAATTTAAATAAATAAATAAATAAAAAATAATAATAATAATTTAAAAAAAATAATGATTTGCAGAGATATTCTATGGGTTATCTTCTCACTTTCTTTATGTGTCCTTTGTAACTCTGAAATTTGTTTTTTTCTTTTTTGTACTAAAGATTGAATCTTGAATCCAGGGGCACTTTATCAATGATGTATATCCCTATTACTTTTTATTTTTTGAGACAGGATCTTGCTAAGTTGCCCAGGCTGGCCTCAAACTTTGGATCCTCCTGCCTCAACCTGCTAAATTAATGGGATTACAGGTGTGCACCCCCACACCTGATTGTAGCCTAAAAGTTTTTAATTTTGTTGAGGTTCAATTTCTGAAATTTTGTTTTCATTTTTATGCTTTTTGGTGTTGTATCTAATGAACTATTGGCTAAACCAAGATAATGAAGATTTATTTCTACATTTTCTTCTGAGAGTTTTATAGCATTAACTTTTACCTTTAAAGCTTCAATGGTTTTGGAGTTAACTTTTTTTTATATGATGTGAAGTAATCTAAAAAGCAAAGCCATAGCCAGGCTTGGTGCACATGCCTGTAATCCCAGCTACTCAGGGGCCTGAGGCAGGAAGATCAAAAATTTAAGCCAGCCTGGGCAAGTTAGTGAAACCCTATCTCAAAATAAAATTTAAAAAGGTCTGGGGATATAGCTCAGTAGAGTGTTTGCCTATTGTACACAATTGGCTAGGTTCCATCCCCAGTACTACAAAACAAAATCAACACCTAAACCATAAAAGTTACTAGAAGAAAATAAAGTAAATATTTAATTTTTAGGTAGATTTTCTGTGCTTTGGTATCAAGACAGAAAGTATTAAAAAAAAAAAAAAAAACCCTAAATCTTGTTCAATATGTGGAAAGTATTTTGTGTTTAACTAGATTACATTCAAAGATTTTTTTCTTCATGTGTAAAAATTTTTCACCAGGGATTTTGTTTTTGTTGTTCAGGGAGTAAACTCTCGAAATCCTCGAAGACCTCCACCTAGTTCTGTAAATACCGGAGGTATCACAGAGATAATGGCAGAAGGAGGTGAATTAGAATTTGTTAAGCGGATCATCCATGACAGTTTACAGCTTAAAAAAAGATTAAGGTAAGTGTGTTGTTATAGCATGGGAATATTTGTCCATGGCATAGTTCCTAAAGAAGTCATTTCAGGGCTGGGGATGTGGCTCAAGCGGTAGCGCGCTTGCCTGGCATGCGCAGAGCACTAGGCTCCATCCTCAAAACCACATAAAAATAAAAAATAAAGACATTGTGTCCACCTAAAAAAACTAAAAAATACATATTGAAAAAAAAAAGTTGTCGGGTTGGGGATGTGGCTCAAGCGGTAGCGCGCTCGCCTGGCATGTGTGCTCGCCTGGCATGCGTGCGGCCCAGGTTCGATTCTCAGCACCACATACAAACAAAGATGTTGTGTCCGCCAAAAAAATAAATAAATAAATAAAAAATAAATATTGAAGTTCTCTCTCTCTCTCCTCTCTCTCACTCTCTCTTTAAAAAAAAAAAAAGTTGTCATTTCACTCAAAGGAAAAGGAATCTCTGAGGTCTGAAGAATAAACATATAAAGGCTGAAAACACAGCAGATCCTGTACTGTATAAAGACCATGTTTCTGAGGATGCTGCCATGCTTCTAATTGGTGTGTGTTTCCTGTAGTCATTTATACCACACAAATAGAAAAAAAGAAAATACCATATGATTATATTGCTTAGTATGGTCCTGGATGGAACAAAACAGGTTTAAATATGGCTTTTGATTAGAAAACAGATGGGTTCAAATCTGTCCCATGAACCAGAATAAATTTGTTGCCTAGTCCTTGAAGCAATTTACATTCTTGGAATCAGTCTCCCAAACAGTGACAGATGTGAGGACATTGAGCTGTCAAGAACTTAATGAAGGGAAACAGATCACTAACCAGTTCCAGAGAAGGGTTAAGGCTATTCTTTTTTAAAAGCTAATTGTTTTGGACAACACACCTAACATTAAGCAGCATAATGTACTCATAAAGAGCCTTATCTTATTTGACTTCATACCCTGCCACAAGTTGTTGATGTGATGGATAATGTAATATCCAAAGTTGGAAAACCTTCCAGCCCTAGCATTTAGCTTTGGCACTTTGGGAAAATAAATAAATAAATACACACACACACACACACACACACACGTATATAAAATTTTTTTTGGTATTGTAATACAGGTAACAAAATTTACCATCTTTTTTTTTTTTTAAATATTTATTTAGTTGTAGATGAACACACAGTATCTTTTTATTTATTTTTATGTGGTACTGAGGATTGAACCCAGTGTCTCACACATGTGAGGCAAGTGCTTTACCACTGAGGTACAGCCCCAGCCCAGAATTTACCATCTTAATTTCTGGTTTGTTTGTAGGGCTAGGGATTGAATTCTACTACTAAACTATGCCATACCCAGCCTTATCTTAATATTGTTTTTTGTGTATAGTTCAGTAGTGCTAAATGCATTATTGCGCTAGAACTCTTCATTTTACAATACTGTAACTCTATATATTGTCCAACTGCCCATTCTCCCAGCCTCTGGCCACCATCATTCTATTTTCTATCCATTTGACTATATGAGATACCTCCTTTAAGTAAAATCATACAACACATGTTCATTTGTAACTGGCTTATTTCAGTTAGCGTAATGTTTTTAAGGTTTATCCATGACTTGTACCATGTATTATAATTTCCTTCCTTTTTAAAACAAATAATATTAATTTTCCATTGTATGTACTGCATTTTATTTATTCATGTATTGATGGACATTTAAAATTGTTTCTTGCTGGGGATATAGCTCAGTTGGAAGAGTGTTTGGCTTGCATGCACTGGCCCTGGGATTGATCCCCAGCACCACCAAAAAAAAAAAAAATTGTTTCTACCCTTTGGCTCTTGTGAACAAGGCTGTATGAACACCAGTATACAAGTATTTCTTTCAATTCCTGCTATCAGTGCTTGATATGTAACCAGAAGTGGAATTCCTAGATAGGGAATTTTTTTTTCCTTTCTTTTGGATTTACAGGTGTTTGAAGCTGTTTATTTTACTAAAAGGCAATTTTAAAATAAAAAAAAATCTTTATTTGTTAATATGAGTTGATTTCAGTGTTTATGGAAAACAACTTGTTTTTTTTTGTAATTGATTATTTTATTTATACATGACAATGGAATGCACTACCATAAAAAGTACTCCAGCACCTGGAGACTAAACAATATGCTACTGAGTGAACAATGTGTTACAGAAGACATCAAGGAGGAGATTAAAAAATTCTTAGAGGTAAATGAGAACACAGACACAACATATTGAAATCTCTGGGACACTATGAAACCAGTGCTAAGAGGAAAGTTGATTGCATGGAGTTCATTCCTTAAAGAAGAAAAAGTCAATAAATAAATGACCTAACTATATATCTCAAAGCACAGAAAAAGAAGAACAAATAAACATCAAAAGCAGCAGAAGGCAGGAAATAGTTAAAATTAGAGCTGAAATCAATGAAATCGAAACAAAAGAAACAATTGAAAAAATTGTCCAGTTATTTTTTCTTTGAAAAAATAAATAAAATTTACAGACCCTTAGCTACACTAATGAAGAGGAGAGAGAGAACTCAAATTACTAACATATGTGATGAAAAAGGTAATATCACCATCGACACTTCAGAAATACAGAGGATAATTAGAAATTATTTTGAAAACTTACACTCCAGCTTAGTTAATAGATGGTCTGTTCCTCAGAAAAGTTACATATTGCTGAAGCCAAAATACATTTTTGCTTTAATTGATTTCTTCAAAGACACATTAGGATATGTCAAAGAAGAGTAAGACTTAAGTTATATGGAGCATTGAGAAAAGTCTGAGTAGGTAATGTAAACTTAAAGAATGTAATAGAGTACTGAAGAGGTGACTAGGCTGTGTAGCCATTTCTTTATTTTTATTTTTTTTCTTTCTTTTTTTAAATTTTAATTTGTTATATATGATATACTGTAGGGTTTTGAAATTACTTGGGCCAACCAGGAAAATGAAAATGTGTCATTATAAATGGCTCTTTTAGGCTATAGTATTTGTGGGATTGTTTTTAGGAGGAAAGTTTTTTTGTGTGTGTGTGTGGCGGGGTACTGAGGATTGAACCTAGGGGGTTTCTAACACTGAGTTACATTGCCAGCCCTTTTAGTTTTTTATTTTGAGAGAGTGTTTTGCTAAATTGCTGAGGCTGGCCTCAAGCTTTCAGTCCTCTGGCCTCGGCCTCCAAGTGGCTGGGATTATAGGCATATACCACCATGCCTGGCTAGGAGGCTTATAAATAGTAAATTTCTATTGGCTTCCGAAGTCCCTTTTGAACTACAGAAGTATGTTTTAAGAGAACACTCTTCAAAGGGATAGAAACTGATTCAGTCTCTTTCAAGTCTACCTGACCTATCTCTTTGGCAGCCACCAAACTGAATAAAATTCGTAAATTTTCGAGGAAGGATAAATTGCAAGAGCCCTTCATGTCTCTGGTTAGTTGGCCATTTCAGGCTTGTATCATTTAGGAGAAACATTACCCAGTTCTAATTTATGTGAGAAGTTTTCAGGTATCTGCTCTACTACGACTCAGGCAGATTGAGAGGGAAGAAAAGAAATGATTTTGAATCAAAAGAGAATAGTGTAATACTTTGAGAACAAGTGTTGCTCATAAATACTGTTTTCAATTTCACATCCTACCAGGACTACTTAACATTTGTACATACTACCAGTTCATGTGTATTTTTGTAGTTGAAATGATCACATTTATACTGGTATGTGAATCAAATTTTAGAATTCTGTGAAAGCTGCATGTTTTGAAGCTCTAAGAAAATAAGAGATTAAAACAAGAGTCTTAACCCTACCATCTGTTTCTTATCCCTCTAAAATATTTTCCTTCTTATCCCCAGAGGAAATATAGAAATTAGCCAGGCGCAGTGGTGCATACCTATAATCCTAGTCATGTGGGAGGCTGAGGCAGGAGGATCACAACTTCCAGGATAGTTTGGGCAACATTGAGACCCTGTCTGCGGAAGTAGCTCAGTGGTAAAGCACCTGTGGGTTGGGTTCAGTTCCCCAGTGTAGCCAAAAAAAGTAAGGAAGAAAGAAAGGAAGAAACTAAGCAGAATTTGCAACATTATAGGGTAAAATAAATTAAGTGGCCTGATGGCCCTTGGATGCTTCCCATAGCTGTGTAAGGTGGTGCATGCCTTACACAGAAAGATCACAAATTGGTGGCCACCCTGAGCCACTTAGTGACTATCTCAAAATACAAAATAAAAAGGGCTGAGGATGCCCAGCATATATGAGATCCAGTACCACAAAAAAAAGGGAAGATTAAAAAAAAAAGATGCCTCTTCTTTAAGATTTATGTCTCACCTAAATCATGCGCAGGAGCAATTACAACTGTTTTTCTCTTAAGGGAGTTTTGCAGCTGGAAGGAACTTAAGAGAAACTTATCCAACCTCTTGGTTTTACCAGTTAGGAACTCAGATTTCCTGATGGTCTGCACTGTATTTAGATAAGTGGACAGCCTTTTTATCATTGTTGAAGATTCACAGGTACTTATCACCTGTTTTTTAACTTTTTATGCCTGTGCTTGAGCTTTAATAGCTTTTTCTTTTTTAAAAAGAGACTTACCCATCTGTCATGGATAAATTACCAGACTTTATCAAATTCCTCATGACTTCCATTGGTTATTAAGTCTATAGATCTTGCACTTTAGGCAGTAACTTTATAACTTCTCCTAAAACCAGTGATCTGTATTTTATGAAGCACCAGCTAAATACTGGTTTCACCCATTTCTTTCTGTTTTTTTGCTTTTTCCCTTCTATTCCCTGCTCCCTGCCAGATGGCCGATATTTTTTAGATTTGGGTATAATCCATATATTTGGGGATAGGCAGTAAATCTAATAATTGATTTTGTTGAATGTGATTATTTAACTTGTGCTTGAAATTTTTTGTTTTCCTAGCCAGGCACAGTCATTCATCTGTCATCCCAGTGACAAGGATCTCAAGTTCAAGGCTAGCTTTGGCATCTTAGTGAGACCCTCTCTGAAAATAAAAGATTAAAAAATAAGA